TAATTCATTCCTCTCGGCAATCCTGAGGCACTGAAAGTTAATACCGAACAAGGAGATTCGCTCACAAAATGTTTGGAAAACGGTGGTATCCATAAAGCTAAGGCCACAATGGAGTTCATGGAACAAAGGAACTGTGAAAGAATCATGCCTTCAGTTTACACAGCAATGTTCTATGGATAATGAAACTGAGCAAATTCGGCTTAAAAACTGCCCTCATACATCGTGCAGCACCTTTCCAATTTTTTTTATAAACCCAACGTCGGAACTGAAAGCACTGATAGAGCTCATAGTAACATCTGTGGCTTGGCTATATTTGTCTCACTCATCCATATTCCGTGCACTGAAGATCCAGTCTGCATCATTCGGGTTTTTTAAAACTCTCTGCTCTGCTCAAATTGACATTTTAGGTTTAGGTTATGACCAAAGACTCTATTCTTGGATTCTTTAGCCGTGCTAAATCTACCTCCGCGCCCGGTCTAACTCGCTACGTAATCACCCGTTCCCACTAGCTCAAATGCTAGCCTCCTGCTGGTAACTTCGGCGGCTAAGTCCTTACCTTAACGAAATTAGGCACCTACTCTCGCCATGGTCGTACACCTCCTGAGCGACTGGCGCTCAATGCAACAAGAAGACACGACCCACAGCAACAATGGTGGTCTCCTGGAACACTATCCGACAGTACTGCGCGCATGCCGATCAGAAGTCCACCAGTAATTATTTGTTGTGCCATAATGCATTCCAAAACTCAGCTAGTCCTTAGTTGCTAGGTAAAGCAACAGAAAAAGCCATCCTTTCATAGATTCACTTGGCCCGCTATCATCCTATTTTAGATGTTTCCACTGGAACCGCATCCCGGAACTCACCAGACCCCACTTCTCTCATCCAATTCCCATTCCGTCCTCATTCCTCCCTATACCCAAGCTTCAAACGTCGGCTCCATACGTGACGCGACGAATAGTCGTCATTCACTTAATCTGTCTGGTCTCCGGCCTATAAGAACACAGCCCTCCAACGGAATCGGAATTACCCGTGAATTTACATTGACCGGATTCTGTCTGTGTCAGCCTCCTCGTCCAACATAGATCAAACTACCACGAACGTGCGTATCCTCTGTCCAATAACGGCAACTTTCACGACAGTCAATGGATTGTCGAGAAACAGAAGCATCTCAGTACAATAATGGCATATCACTGCAATGCCCAGGCTGATGGAAATTGCGAAACGAATTTCCTCCCACCATACCGGATTTATCCTCCACCTTCGCCGTTGCCCAATCTAGCCTCCAACTTCAACAAGAACAATTTTGCCCTCCCCCAACCGCCTGTGCGACGAGTTTGATGCAACTTGCTGATTTAAATTACCCGTTTTCTGCTGCAATTTTGATTTGCCCCTCCGCAAGTTCAATTTCATTTGCGGTGTTCGATTGGCCTTTAAATCATCACTGCCTTCATCGAAACTGTTTTCTCACAATAGCGACACCAGCGTGTCCGCTTAGGTTCACTGTATACGTATTTGAGACAAAGGGTTCTATTTATACATACTTCAAATTCTTCCATATCCGCTTTTGCCTTTCGTGACCCTCGCCAATTTCTCAATCAACCAGCAGCGATTTTCAGTTTTCGTTCATTTCAACCAGGTTCATCGCTGAACCAGTCTTACCTAATGCCCATTGTCCTTGTTCTTTTGGTTCCCACTACTGCGCTGACGTTCCGCTCACTAGGCACTCCTCTTCGGTTGTAACTTCCTCCCCGTTGTGATTTTGCCTGCTGCGCTCAGCTGAAGCAATACGATAATGCTTAAATTGGCGTATTTTCTACAAGCTGGGAGATCACATAATATTATTATTTGTTTTCTGGTGCAGGTGGCTCTGGAAGCGTTCTAAATCATTGAGCTATGCATTGTTTTATCAACGTTCCATTTGACCTGGTCCCATGGTGGGTCTGTAGGCAAATGTTTGGATTTTATTCTCTTCAATATTTGAATCTCAAGGTCAGGTGTTGTTTGCGCGAGATGGCCCAAGTGGTTAGAACGCGAATTTACTGACCGGAAGGTTCGTGGTTCGAATCCGACCTCCGCCACTTGATTTCCCCTGTCTAGGCTTGGGCAACCTGGCAGTATCCCAGCCCTCGTGCCTCCTTCGGGTGGCATGGCAGTTAGGCAACGAAAGAGTGCTACGTCTGAACGCTTCTTTCTTTTCTTTCTTACTATTATCTTATTTGAATCAAAAAATGCTACCAGTCCCATCTTCCTCTAAGCGCTCGCTAGACCCTGATTGCCCGTCAGCCTTCCTGTCATTGCGTCCAAAGAAGCTCCTTGCAGGAAAAAGGCACAACGCTCAACCCCATCACCCCTCAAGGCCGGTCGATAGACTGCCCCAGTTAAATTCAACCTGTTCAGTTGTACTAACCGACATTTCCCTTCCTGCCGCACTTGGCAGTCGTCTTCCCCCCTTTTCGCCAAAAGAATCTCATCAACACACCGGCCTGACAAATCTCAGTGCGCGTGTGCATAAGATGGAGGGCGAACTGATATCCTATCGTATCATGCCACCACCTTCCTGCCTTCTAACCCCTGATGCAATGTGATCCATCAGACCTTGCAAAAGCGTCAGTCTTTATTGACACACTCGCCTCGGAGATTTGTCGGCGTATGGAATGCTGTAAACAGGTCATACTATATAATATTCCCGACCGCATACGGATAGAACGCACAAAACCCGTCATCTAGGCAGCATGTAACATGCATGACAGTCTGTACAGCCCGAAGGTTGCAAAAGTCGAAACCCTCATCGCGTTCCCCAATGCTAATGCGATTCAGAGGTGAAGGCAATGCAACGCGTCTGCTGACAATTCTGGCCCTTCTGTCCTCGACCCAGACATTCCGAACCGTAAAGGTCAAAGATGCTCGCACCAGACTACAAAGAAAGCCCACAAGAAACCTACTCTGCAAACTTCTACAGCCGACTACTGATAAACATCGAAAGAATCCAAATTCTGTTCACCAATCCGTACCAGTAAATGCTCCCAATGTGATTCAGTCGCAGACCACTCATGCTTCTTTCTTTTCTTTCTTACTATTATCTTATTTGAATCAAAAAATGCTACCAGTCCCATCTTCCTCTAAGCGCTCGCTAGACCCTGATTGCCCGTCAGCCTTCCTGTCATTGCGTCCAAAGAAGCTCCTTGCAGGAAAAAGGCACAACGCTCAACCCCATCACCCCTCAAGGCCGGTCGATAGACTGCCCCAGTTAAATTCAACCTGTTCATTCAGTCTAACCGACATTTCCCTTCCTGCCGCACTTGGCAGTCGTCTTCCCCCCTTTTCGCCAAAAGAATCTCATCAACACACCGGCCTGACAAATCTCAGTGCGCGTGTGCATAAGATGGAGGGCGAACTGATATCCTATCGTATCATGCCACCACCTTCCTGCCTTCTAACCCCTGATGCAATGTGATCCATCAGACCTTGCAAAAGCGTCAGTCTTTATTGACACACTCGCCTCGGAGATTAGTCGGCGTATGGAATGCTGTAAACAGGTCATACTATATAATATTCCCGACCGCATACGGATAGAACGCACAAAACCCGTCATCTAGGCAGCATGTAACATGCATGACAGTCTGTACAGCCCGAAGGTTGCAAAAGTCGAAACCCTCATCGCGTTCCCCAATGCTAATGCGATTCAGAGGTGAAGGCAATGCAACGCGTCTGCTGACAATTCTGGCCCTTCTGTCCTCGACCCAGACATTCCGAACCGTAAAGGTCAAAGATGCTCGCACCAGACTACAAAGAAAGCCCACAAGAAACCTACTCTGCAAACTTCTACAGCCGACTACTGATAAACATCGAAAGAATCCAAATTCTGTTCACCAATCCGTACCAGTAAATGCTCCCAATGTGATTCAGTCGCAGACCACTCATGAAACCAACCTCTCGGAAATTTGCGCAAGTCATATCACCGATGAGACATGTGCGCATAGTTATCGGAGAACACCTGATTCAACCAAAGGCTCACCGAATCTGTCAACTGGTCCGGAGTCTTTTACAGCCCCCTCTGTACCGGGCATCAGAGTAGCCTGGTCCAAACCGATCGGAATTGCAGACGCCCCTCCAAATACCGGAGCTAACGCCTTATTCTTTAAAGCTCGACGCCGCAGCACAGATCCCCTTCCTTACCCCCATTACCCTGGAATCGCTCCTCGCACAAGCCCTCCATACCGTGATGTCAACTTGTGGCCCAATGCAACACCGACCCTCGTAAAGGGCCTCCAGAACTGCATCCCTTTTTCATGACGATGAGCCCTCCACTTCTACTTTTGGACACCTGTCTGTGACTCCTCTGACCTCAATTGTACCAAAGAATTCACCGCTGTGATGGTGGATGCCACCATCTCAAAATTTACACCCCTCCAAGTCGCTACGTGTTTGGTCGCCCTCACCACACCGCCTCTTAGCCTACATACAGTGAACTGTCCTGCCTCGGGCAATATAAATATATTGGCAATCTTAGACTGACTTTGATAACTACACTACTCAGTGCGAATACTGTCTTGTTCAACCACCTGGTGTCACCGCCAAAATTGTGGCAGACGTTCATTTTTCCCCTATTAAGGGACTGTATCCTGTCTGATGACCCCTATAACTCTCCAGACCTTAGTGATCTCATCTCATTTCATCTTCCTCCCAAGCTTCGATCCGTGGTAATACACGCTATGGACCACTGTTTGGACGCTGTCCACTCTCCCTGATCTGTGCATTACGAACGAAGGGATCCCAGACCTGAAACAACAACAACAACAACAAATACTACGCGCGAAATTACGTTGGTTTTGCTCACCTTGAGAAATCCCCCGGCAAACGCACAACATCCCGCTGATCACAGGACTGTGCATCTCAGCCTAACTACCTCAATCACGACGTCCGTCTTGGGGCTGTCCAGAAATCGGTGTATTTGAGTGCAGTGACGGTACGGCACTGTGATATCCAGTTTGATAACACACCCGCAATCGTTCACTTCCTACTTTGACCACGCCCTCTCGCTCACTCGTTCCTTTGCCGGCAATCATAATCAGTCTTCGTTTGTCACCAGCCGCCATCGTGAGGCGTTCATTGCAATCTGCCGAACCTTCTGTCGGATGTAAAGGTCCCAGTGACTTTTATTCATTCAGTCAGTTTTCGCACAGTTTGCGTGCACTCGTTCCATCAAGCAACTTTTACACTTGACTCTGTTCCAGCAGCAACACTAGTGAGTCGCTCAAGTTTCACTGCATCCTGTGAATCTGAGTTTTCTTCCACCATTTGTCCGTACTGCATATTACCCCACTTCACCATCCTCACTTACGCTTACCGTGGCTGTACGCCAAACAGCCCAAGGCCATTGAGCCCTAATGACGGTTTTGGGCTTTAGTTCAAATTAGCCGGCCATGTCGTGGCAGTTCTGCTGCCTCTCCAGATGAATTATTCTGGCTCCACAATTCCTGCATTTTGAAGCGTTTTTGTTTTTTGTCATGTTTCAGACAGGAAGCTTTTGTCATACCCTCACTCGTATTGTTTTTGCCCGCCACTTTTAGATCCTACCGATCAAATCTCGTGTCATCCGATATGTTCTTCAAAGGAGATAAAGAGCCCTTGTAATTTTGGATTCAAATCTCGATCCGATATGTTCTTCAAAGGAGATAAAGAGCCCTTGTAATTTTGGATCCCTACCCATACCACCTCAGGCGTGATGAAGTAAGTCTCATTAACGTTTACTGTTTATGTCATTCTCCCTTTTCCAGGAAACTCCCATTAATCACAAACCCCACCAGTCATGCCTTTATTCTGACTGTAATACTATGATCATGCCCGACGGTATGCTACCCACTAGCTGGGAATAAACATTAGTATTATTTTTATTATTGTTATTATTATTATTAGGTGCATGTTACATGCTCGGTCGAAAAATACTAGAGGTACGGTGAGCTACGATTAACAAATCAGGTGAAATATTGTAGCGAGGTACCGTTCTCGCAATGTCGGGGACATCCCTGTACAAAAATATCGTGGGTGAGACCGTTTATTGTTAGGGTAGTTCGACCAGTATGGCGCAAAGGTTTGCTTGGGTACATTGCGAGTGCAGCTTGGTTCGCTACTGCTATTCAAGGGAGTCAAAAAGATAGCCGTATCTGGATTGGAGAATCAAAATTGGGAAACGGTCAAAGCGAACCAACAGAGAGCGCATGTGCGGAGTGGACTGCAGCCCGAAATAGAAAGCAGCTAAGATTGTTCATATTTTCTAACTGCTGCAGTGTATCAATATTACCCTATCAAAAAACTACTAATACACTGGTGGGTAGAGTAGAGAGGAGGGATATGTCGTCGACGCGAACGAGTGTGGCCACACGTGAATATGTATGATGTGTCTAAACATTACACCAAAGTCGTGTGCCAGTTTTGTAATCGACCACGAAGCTGTGCAAGGACGGGAGAGTCTGAAGATCAGTCGAAAATCATGATTGAGACATACGCGCTTTCGTTGCTAGTTTGTGATACATGATTTTTAGCTAACAAGTATTTGACACCGTAGGACTGCCATGTACTGGTGAGTGCTGCGGCCCAGGAATTATCACAAAACTATAACGGACGTACTACGGTGAACAGCACCAAGCCGAATGAGATGGCGATTTGTCTCTGGTTCTGTATGTTGCGCAAAAGAGGAGACAACTAATCTTTTCAGTGATTCTGTAAGACGTAGTGATCTAAGGCGTGTACGGATAAGAGATCGGAGTGAAGCCTGAGGCGCATGGTCGCGTTGCATGATTGTGCAATGAGGCAAGCTTTCCGTGGAGCACCAACTGCCCAAGTATAGGGAAGGAGTCCCGCAGCTCGAGTAATTTCAGGGGCGTTTGTCAATGTTCTAACGGAACCCGAAAACTAGGTATACGAACGAGAAAACGAGGATCACTAACAAAATCAGCTTGTTGAGTAAAAATTATTGCAATAGGTATGAATGCGAACAAGAGGACTTATCGTATCGCAGATTCAGGTTAGTAAATCCTGTTGTGGGTCCGAATGCAGGTTTCGTGCTGTTGTAGCAGCCACACGTATTCCTGAAAATCCGTGAGTGAAACGCCGTAAGTCCCAAGCGGACCTGCTCCGAGCTGGGTGACGTGCGAAGCTCCTTTGAGTTGTGTCGTGTTGCCGTGCTGGTATACTACTTGTAGGAACATTTGCGTGTGTGTGGGTATCAGCATATGACTTGTTGCTACCGTATCAGACGGTAGAAAGTCGATATCGGATGATTTACCCTTGTGTATCGTGGTTTGTAGGTGTAGGGAA